AGGACAAAGAGGCAGCTGAAGCAATAGAAGCAGAAGGAGCAACGGCACCACTGACAGAACTGCTTCACTCTAGGAACGAGGGTGTGGGTAAGTGGCCATCAGTGCTTACACCATGGCATCCTTCTTGATAGGTAGTTTGGGACATGGGAGCATGGTAGAGACGGTTTAAATCAGTGGTTCTCAACCTGGGGTCCCCAGATGTTTTTGGCCTACAACTCCCAGAAATCCAGCCAGTTTGCCAGCTCTTAGGCTTTCTGGGAGTTGAAGGCCAAAAACATCAGGGGACCCCAGGTTGAGAACCACTGGTTTAAATACATACGTGCTGGAAACATACTGAATACTTCACAGCTGGAAACCACCCCCATCTCCCTCAGTCTCCCAAAATACCACAATAACTCAAAAAGCAAATCTTGATGTTGCAATTTTATATAAGGGATGGCATTTTACAGTGCTATTACATATAACAGGAATTTGGCATCTGGGGGTCTGGAACTAAACACCAGCGGATACTAAGGGCTTGTACTGTAGTGGTTTATATTTCTTTTGAATGATTGATCCAGAATGGTAGTACTCGGGGCTTGCTGCTTTGGTCCGTGGCTTTGGTGCTATGGTGTTCCTCACGGCTATTTTGTTCCTTAATATCTATAACAGAGCTTTCCTAACTACAGGTGATCCACAGGTGTGTAGCATGAAAAGTCCCCCCCCCCCTTCCACACACACACACAAACAAAGACTGCCTGTGCCTGGCGCACAATTGTGTTGACTGTCCCTGGAGGAGGAGACAGGCAGCAGCAACAATACTGACACTGAACACAACACTGAGGGTGGCCTCGCCATCCTCCTTTTCCCTGTTATCCTTGGCTGGGGAAACTCATCCTAACTTTGTTTATACTATATGAAACATTTTTATGATATATCATATAATATACATATGTTATGAAACTCTTAAAAGGGATTGGTTTAACTTCTAGTTTTTTTTAGTAAAACTGAATTATCATATTGCACAAGGATCATATGTAAAATGCATGCCACCAACATGAAAAATTTGGAAAGGTTTGATCCATAAGATACGGGCAAAGTGGAGATTCTGATGGATTGCAAGTCCCCTCAGCCTTAGCTAGGCATACGCAATGGTAAAGTGCTGGAAATTACTTTCTAAAAGCTTTGAAATTCCACACTTTGTTCTACCCCCTTCCATCTACATGAAGTGCGCAGTGTTAACCAAGACTGAGGTGTCACCTCTCCCCCCATTTTTATTTAATGCAGATTGACCCTCTGAACAAGTCCTTGAGCATGTATAGGGACTTAATCAGAGCCAATAAACTAGATTCAATCACACGAGTGCTAATGTTTATGTTTTTAGTCATAGTCTCTCTCTCTTATATATATATATATATATATATATATATATATATATATATATATATACACATACACACTTCATACTGCCCAGGAAATGTCAATTGGCGGACAGTTTGAGTACGTATTTAATAAGTGAAGCAGGAGAGAGGTTTTGATACCCTTTTTATTTGAACAGCAACATACGCAGCTGCAGTGTTGTTTAGGATGTCTGAAGATAAACCACAGGATTATAAGAAACGGCTTTCAGTTGAGTTGACCAGCTCTCTCTTCAGGACTGAACCAATGGCTTGGAATGAGGTAGGTTCTCTTTACTCCCTGTTCCTAGAATTTAGTTGGGACTGTTTCAAAGAGTGCGTTGTGGCTAAAGGGATAGTGAAGGATAGGCCTGTTTTCGTTAGCAGGAATAAATGAGCTTCTCTAAGCATCTGACAAGGCACCTGCTGGCTCCTGTTTGACATTGCTAACAGGCTGAGCCAAATGGACACTTGGCGCCAGACAAGTTCCCTTGAATTGCATGATGCTTATAAAAAGCACCTGAAGTTCACAAGAGAGAATAAATTTTCCTTGTACATTGCTAAATAATAAGGCAGCAATTCTAGGTCTCCAATCATTCAGCAAAAAATCATCCCTAGCAAGGCAAAGTGACATGCTTGCCACATGGAAACATGCCTGGAACTACCTATTCTGTTCTTGTGTTCCTTTGCTGACTTAGGGCAACCCACCTGTCATGGAGTTTTCTTGGTAAGATTTGTTCAGAGGGGGTTGCCCTTGCCTTTTTTGTTTGTTGTTGTTCATTCGTTCAGTCGTTTCCGACTCTTCGTGACTTCATGGACCAGTCCACGCCAGAGCTCCCTGTCGGTCGTCACCACCCCCAGCTCTGTCAAGGTCAATCCAGTCACTTCAAGGGTACCACCCATCATCTTGCCCTTGGTCGGTCCCTCTTCCTTTTTCCTTCCTTTCCCCCCAGCATCATTGCCTTCTCTAAGCTTTCCTTTCTTCTCATGATGTGGCCAAAGTACTTCATTTTGGCCTCTAATATCCTTCCCTCCAATGAGCAGTCAGGCTTTATTTCCTGAAGTATGGACTGGATGGATCTTCTCGCTGTCCAAGGCACTCTCAACTTTCCTCCAACACCACAGTTCAAAAGCATCTGTCTTCCTTCGCTCAGCCTTCCTTAAGGTCCAGCTCTCTGTACGTGTGATTTCTGTATCTCTAGCTAAACAATATATTTTAGTTATGCTTGGTAAGATTTGTTCAGAGGGGGGGTTGCCCTTGCCTTTTCTGTATCTCTAGCTAAACAATATATTTTAGTTATGTCTGGAAAGCGTACACATATTTAAGTAGATGTTAGCACTAATTCAAAGCCGTAAGGGTTTATATTACTCCTGGAATGAACTGCCTGCTTCAGGTGCTACTTTATATATTCCTTACAGACTGCTGATCTGGGACTTGACATTGGTGCACAGGGAGAACCTCTTGGCTATCGCCCGGATGGTATGTATAAATTGGTTAGTTGACTTGTAAAAGCAACAAACAAACCAAAATTGTAGTCGCAGTGTATTTGTAGAGAACTGCAAACCCATTTTGTTCTGTTGGTAGTTCTCATTATAATTTATGGGTTCCTTGCACTGTTCAGTGAGAGATCCTCACCAAGGCATTATGAATTAATTGTGTGTATTCTAACCATGAAAAATGCATACTGGGCACTTTTCTTTAAAATGTGCTAGTGATACATTTTGTTTTTCAAAAAGTAGGTTACGAATGCTTAATTGTGCAACTAGAAAGGCTTATAGTGTGTGTTTCAGTTGTGATAGTATTGCCGCATTGCTGTTTAAGGTTTTCAGTAGCAAGCAGACCTAATAAGCTTGGCTGAAATGTGCTTCTGGTGGTAGCATGCTTTATTGTACAGCTATCCCAATGTATTTACTGACTTGTCAGTTTGTCCATACAATTTTGAGTCTAGAAAATGTGATTTCAGTGTGGCTGGGCTACGAACTCTCACATGCTGATATTTTTGAAGCTTTTGGAGCCTCTAACATGTTAACCTGCTTTTCCCCCCTTCTCCCCTTTGCCGCCCTTAACTTTCTTAGATCCTAGCTACCGTTCTTTCCACTCTGGAGGATACGGTCAGGATGCCTTGGGCATGGACCCAATGATGGAACATGAAATGGGGGGCCACCACCCGGGTGCTGACTACCCAGTTGATGGGCTGCCAGATCTAGGACATGCCCAGGACCTTATGGATGGGCTGCCTCCAGGTGACAGTAATCAGTTGGCCTGGTTCGATACTGACCTGTAAATCATCCTTTAGGTAAGATGCTCCGCTCGCCTACACCTGAGAACTTGGCTGGCAGGGAGGGAACGGTTTGGATTGGTCCGTGTTGGTTGTAGTCGCAAATGTCTAGTGCATTGTCTGCATTGAAACTGACTCATGATGTGATTTGTGGACGTGATTAACGTAGGAGTGTCATGCTGTAGGCCAGATGCAAGTCTTAACAGGAGCAGCTGTGTCTTGATTTTAACCCAACTTTTCTTTTCTTTTTTCCTCCCACGCAGCTGTATTGTCTGAATGATCTTGCATTGTGATTGGCCTGTAGAGTTGCTGAGAGGGCTCGAGGGGTGGGCTAGTATCTCAGAAAGTGCCTGACACACTAACCAAGCTGAGTTTCCTATGGGAACAACCGAAGTAAACTTTTTGTTCTGGTCCTTTTGGTCGAGGAGTAACAAAATGGATTTGGGGAGTGACTCACGAAACGAAGAATGCACAAGAATGAATCTCAAGATGGAATTTATCAAACCTAGCCTTGCTTGTTTAAAACTTTTTTTTAATTTTTAAATCTCTGTAATGGTACTGACCTTGCTTGCTTTCAAAGTAGTTTTCTTTTTTGCAGTAAACTTGTAGGGTTTTTAAGTCTCTGTGTTTAAGTTATAGTGAACATGCTACAGCAACTTCTGATTTTTAAGGATCGAGTAATGGTGTAGAACACTAATTCATAATCACTCTAATCGTAATCTGACAAGTGTAACATTGTGTAGCCTTTTTGTATAAAAAAAATTAGACAAATAGAAATGGTCCAATTAGTTTCCTTTTTAATATGCTTAAAATAAGCAGGTGGATCTATTTCATGTTTTTGATCAAAAACTTTATCTGGAGATGTCTGGGTAGGGGCCAGTAAAGAACTGTTGTATGGAACCTTGTATTGGACAGTTTACCAGTTGCCTTTTATCCAAAGTTATTGTAGCCTGCTGTGATACAGATGCTTCATGAGAACAGTTATACAAATGGTTCAGAATTAAAGTAAACTTTTAATTCATTTTGCTGTGTCAAGTTATTTCAGCTACTTCCTGTACAAACTCAGTGCGGTAAAATACAAAATGTGGCAAACTGATAGAACGTTCTTGTTGTCATAACACGTTACATAAACCTCATGCACTGTTATCAGGTATTTGATGTACGATGCTTAGATCTGCAGTAGTTTTAAGCATGTTTACTCAGAAGTCCCTGTGTCTTTAATAACATGTATTATATATCTAAGATGGCCCTTTTCCTATTCTTTGATGTTTCTCCTCCACTTATATATGCAAAAGATTAAAGACATTCCTTGAAGAGTAACTTGTATATAAAAAAAATAAAACAATGAAAAATTATCATTTTATTTAGAAATACACATCAGAACCTCCCCCTCCCCCCTTCTCTCTGTTGTATTGGCGTTAGTTGACTCAGCCTTGATAGTGTTCAATTTTCTTGAGGATTTCAGAAGCCAAGGAAGCAATTACTATATCTGCATGGAAGCTAACAAAAATAGAATAAAACACCAGTTAGCACACTACATTTAAAGGATGAATTGAAGTATTTCTTTCACATTCCATTGTAACCATTGTTTAGAAGTGGTAGGGGTGCATGAGTTTCATTTTCCCCATTGATTAGGAGAAAATGTCCTTTACTTCAGAGCTGCTCACTTACCAAACCACCGCAGAATTGGAAAATGGCATATTTTAATACCACATAATTGGATTTTTGCCCTGATGAGCTCACATAGCACACCATATACGATATAGTCTTCATATCTCAGCTCTAGCCAACTATGGCCAGTGATCTGGAATGTACTCCAATCATCTGGAATACTCTTAAGTTGGGAAAAAATAGTTTTATCTCTCAACACACTACCATTTTCAGCAATGTAAAATGTGGGGTGTATCTAGGGGGAAAAGGCCCTTCTCCTGTTTGCATTATGTACCAAACTGGTGGCTGAGCCATAGTCCAAGGTTCATACCACTATGTGTTTTCTGAATTCCTTCCCTCTTGTTTTCCTATCTCCCTTCCTTTCTTCTTTCCCCCCTACCTAGCTTTTTGTCTTCCCTTTCTCTCTCCTTCCTTCCTTTTTCTTTCAAGGATAACAACTTGGGAGATTGAGGGGAAAGTTTTGGGAAAGTGAGGGCAAACACCCTTGTTGGTTGTATCTGGCCTGTGAGCCATAATTTGAGGACCTCTGCCCTAAACAGAGGTCCTCAAATTTTATTGCCATTTCTGTCTGCAGTGGAATCTAAAATCATTTTCAAAGAACATCCAGTAACCTGTGTTTCAATAATTTTATTCATACTGAGATTGACACATTTTTACATCAGTCCTTATCTAGGTAAAATCAGTTTGTATGTCTATCTAGATTTACCCGCGTGGTCAGCCTGTGAATCACACATGTGGTATTTCCTGCGCGCTCTCATTTTGCAGAAGGGAAACAGGCAGTGAGGAAAATGTAGCAAGCCCAATGCCTGTTACGGAATCCAGGTCTGAGCTAAAATGTCAGCACATATCCAAAGCAAATGACTGGATTAGAAAAGAATAAAGTTCATTCTGACTTTTTTAGCCACATGAGCCATTTCCCATTTGCAAATGAAAGGGAGCTTTACAAAATACGCCACCAGCTTGAATAGTTAGAGAAACTAAGTTGATATTGACCTTATAGATAATACCCTAAGATGCTGGGCAAACTAATAGATGTATTCTTCTAGCGTTTAGACTATCTCACAGCTGAAGGCGATGGTTTACAAAGAACTCTGAACCAGAGGCATAACCCTGGGTTCAGCAAGTCTCCAAAGCAGACCGTCTGTGGACAGTGGTGTTGGCCTTGTCAGATGGTCAAATGCTTTTGCTATAATGGCTTAAGGCACTGCTTGAACTGCTATAGCCAAAGCCAGTTGTGTGTGCGTGTGTATCCTACAGGTTCACATGTTTACTTCTCATAAAAGATACAAAGCACACACACCACTCTATAAACATATTTAATGTCCTTCACCACCACTGCAGTCAAAGAAGTCGAGAGACCATCTTCTGACATCATGTAGGAGCAACCGGCTCCTTTCTGGACATGAAGTGAAATGCTGAAAAGAAAAGGCGAGTGTGGGAAAGAAACAATAAAGCTTTGAGTCGAGCTTGATAACAGCATTGTGTAGGAAGAGGTGTGTTGGCAATACAAGAAGCATGTGCAGAGAGGTGTACACATGGAATGTAAACTCTAAAAAGCCCAAAGGATCTCACCTGGCCGTTTGGGTCAATCTTTCTAGTGTACGGACAAGACCACCTCCATCGTTCTTCAGGCTTTGTGCATGCTTCTCATTTGAAGTTATCTGTAATCACAAAGGAAAGTTACCAAAGATCTATAAAGACATTTCTGGTTAAGGGGGGGATGACAACAGTTAAGCAGAACTCCAACCTGACCACCTGTTGCACTCCCCTCCCTCTTACTCCACCCTAGTTTTTGTTGTTCATTCGTTCAGTCGTCTCCGACTCTTCGTGACCTCATGGACCAGCCCACGCCAGAGCTCCCTGTCAGCCATCCCCAGCTCCTTCAAGGTCAGTCCAGTCACTTCCATCTTGCCCTTGGTCGGCCCCTCTTCCTTTTACCTTCCACTTTCCCCAGCATAATTGTCTTCTCTAGTCTTAGATTCCAAGAATTACTCCTTTCTGAGCATTTGCTTCAGCTACAGGGTATCCAGAAATGCCATCTGGAGTGGCACCYTGACAAGAGTTCTATGTCCCTATGCCCTCAACTATAACCTCACATGGAATTGAACAYGTTGCTGTAGAAGTTTAGTTTTAAATCATGTATATTTTATCCCAGTCGCACACAATATAGAGTTGCACGAATTTCATGCCAGAATTAATTGTCAGCAACTTTCCACAGAAAAGTTTGACTTCGTGCACAAAATGTGCTTTGTTTCTTGAACTCTTCATTTCTGGTTTTTATCCCAGTGTTCATTTGATGAATCGGARGCCACTGGYTTTGACAAAATGGATTTTATTTTAGTTGACCTAAAGTGACTTAACCAAAATCGTAAGGGCAGATTTTGCTGATCAAGAACCTGCATTGGCAGACCCAAAGTCAAAGCTCCACTATCGTAGCAAGTTTTGCTACTGCTATGCTGCTAAAACCCACCTCTTAAACCATCCTCAACCAAAGAATTGATAAGGTCATGGGTGTGCTGAGACATGCAGCTGGAGGAGGGGTCTTTCCATAGGTCCTTGTCTCAATGCACCCCACAAACAGGCAAGACATTATGATGTCCGTTCCCAGGACATGATCTGCAGTGCCATAGGAATCTCCGTTTTGGTTCTGCCTGGCTTAAGAGAGAAGCTCTGGGATCACATTTGTTCATTAACAACTACTAACTGAAACTAACTGAAAGTTACAAGAGTGCAAGTCTGGCTTACGATCTTGAATACTGCACAGGAAGGCAGCCATAAGTTTTCCCTCTTCTGTTTGATGGTAGGATGAACAGCAACACACAAACTTTCATGGACAATTAATTCTTATGCTTGTTTAGAGAAACATTTGGAAAGTGCTTAAAATCACTGCTGATTTAGAAAAGGTCTCACAAAATGCTGGACTATCACAATGCATCATCTGCCAGAAACACAGCAGCATAATTATATTCCCACACCATTAAAATGAACATGCAATGTGCAGGAACCGTTTCCTGTTGAACTGGAATGGGTGACCGCAGTCGTCGTAAATCCGATGCACCCTGAGTCTGCACAATGTGTTACAATGATGTGGTTATTGTTTTCATTACAGTCTTGAGAAATAAAATCTTATAATCTGAGACATCACCTAGTAACCTTCCCTGCAATTGGTGTGAAGACAAAAAACCTGCATGATAAAAGGAAGCTAACTAAAACTACAACGGAGTTGGCCAAAAGTGAGCTGAGACTGAGATTAATACCGAGACCTAAGGCTTAAATCATAACACAAACTATTGTGTGTTGGTTATATGCAAATAGGTATTCTTCCACATAATGTCTCAGGGCACTTCTATGAGTGTGTGAAGTACAAATGTCTTTGCAGTACATCTCAATGAGAAATGCACATGTACGCTCACATTCAACATACTTTTGTGACATCACTTCAGGGATGCAAATTCCTTTCTCCTGCTTGCACCAATTTATTGTGATTGAGTTCCAACCACATGCTGAATTCTTTACAATTGCAGTAAGCTATTCGTTTAATTAAAACATTGTAATTAACTCTCACTGCAGTGTCCATTCAGTGCAATTCTGTGAGAATTTCAAAATGACTTTTCTTTATGAAGCTAATAAAGCATATTACAGCTTCCCTCTGTTTAATGCAATTAGACAAGGATGAGGCACAAGTAACATCACTGGTGTATAAATATCCCAGTTAGTTGGGAAATGTGTAGTAAGAACATTTCGCAAATTCAATAAAGACTTGCTCCCCACCAATAAAAAAAAGTATTTTACAAGAGTTCTAATTATAAATTAGAAAACCTTTTATCTGCCAATTTTTGTCTGATTTAATTTTTCAGAATGAGACCATTAATAAACATTAGCCTCCATTGCTAAGGAAAGACCCGGGTCTTTGCTTCCCTTCTGTGTTTTATATTTCCAACCCTACTGAGTTAGGCTCCCCCCTCAATGCAATTACTCACAACTTGTTTTCAATTTACAAGGACCTTCAAAATCAATTAACCTGAAGAAGGAATTACTTTTATCCTTGTTGCAGGGATGGCTTTCTCTTGCCCCATTGCAACTTCAATTATGTCAAAGTTTTGTTTCCGGTTAGGAAAGCTACTACAGAGGACTAAAGGAGACTCTGGCAATGACGGAGTGAGGGCAAAGAACTTGCTCTTTTAATGCAGTCAATGGCAACAGTGTCTGAAAGGCGACAGACTTACGAGGGGCATTCATTAAAGATTTCCCCTGATCTACTTCCCATGGACTGAGAGCAATGAAACTTGGCACAGTTGTTAGCCCTTCTCTACATAGGTGCCAACTACGGACGCACACGTCTACCATCTTTTTAGGCAACTGTAAACACCTCGCAAGTTGCTCCAAAAGCCACGTTGTGACTTCGGAAATCGGAGTCTCATCATCTGAAAAATGCTTGCCCTTTATTGTTGGAAAGAGGTGGAAGTCCAAAGGTGTGAGGTGGAGTGAATAAGGGGGATGCAGTAGAATTTCAAAGCCACAGCAGCATGCTTCCATTTGGGCAGCAAGTGAGTTGTGAACTGGTGCATTGTCTTGCAGAAGGTGGACACCTTTGGTGAGCATCCCCCCCCCCCCGCAATTTCCAAAGTAGTGAAGCATAGTATGCTCCAGTGCTCATGATACCCTTTGCTAGGAAATCCATCAATACTACTCCATGCTGGTCCCAAAATACTGTGAGCATGACCTTGCCTCCAGAGATTTTGGTATGTGCCTTCTTTGGAGGCAGTCATGATAATTCCATTGCATCGACTGGACTTTAGTCTCAGGATCATAGTGATGGGTCCAACTTTTATCCTGTGTGATCAGTCTGTTGAAAAAATACCCCTGGTTTCCATGGCACATCGTCAATAGAGCCTGAGAGCATTCGACTTGTTCCTACTTCTGGGAAGGTGTGAGCAGCTAGGGGACCCAGCAAATGAAGATGGTCTTGGATGATTTTTTCTATATTGACATTTTGAGCTACGTGGTGAATGGTTATGATGTTTATTGTTTGCGTTTTCAGTTTTATTCTGCTGTAATTTGTTGTCTGGGCTTGGCCCCATGTAAGCTGCCCCGAGTACCCAGTGGGAGATGGTGGCGGGGTATAAATAAATTATTATTATTATTATTATTATTATTATTATTATTACGCAGCAATTTTCCAAACTGACCTCCATTTGCTGGATGGTGTCAATAGCATCAATAGCAGAATGGGGTCACCCTGAAACTGGAGCTGTTTGCACCAAAGTCTGACCACATTTGAGTTGACAATGCCAGTTCTTGACAACATTATATGATGGGGAATAATCACCATAAACCTCTTTCATTTCATCGAACGTCTCTTTTGGAGTGTGGCCTTCCAAGTAAAGGAATTTAATGACTGCTCTATATTCCATTGGATCCATTATCAAACCTCACACCTCTTCAGCACCTGTACAATCAAGACTGTTATCTGTTTTGAGTTGTAAATTGGCATACAACCTATAGAGACTTATATCATTACACATGTGCAGTTTCAGCGTCCTGTGATAAACAGATGTGGGTCAGGGGACATCTTTAATGAACGCCCCTCGTAACTATCTGCATGGATATTTATTTATTTATCTATCTATCGTGTCAGGAGCAGCCAGACATTTGTATTACATTTTTAACAAAACAAACAAACAAACAAACAGACAAAACACAAAGTTTGCAAGCTTGGTAGTTGATTAAATGTCCTTTGACCAGTAGCTGGCCACTTGGGGTGCCTCTGGTGTTACTATAAGAAGTATAGCATGTAGCAGGGCTCAGATTGCATCGCAGCAGATGGTCTGTAGTTTGCTCTTCTCCACACTCGCATGTCGTGGATTCCACTTTGTAGCCCCATTTATTAAGGTTGGCTCCGCATCTCATGGTGCCAGAGCGCAGTCCGTTCAGCGCCTTCCAAATCACCCAGTTTTCTGTGTGCCCAGGGGGGGAGTCTCTCATTTGGTATCAGCCATTGATTGAGGTTCTGGGTTTAAGCCTGCCACTTTTGGACTCTTGCTTGTTGAGGTATTCCAACAAGTGTCTCTGTAGATCTTAGATAACTATTTCTTGATTTAAGTTGTTGACGTGCTGGCTGATACCCAAACAGGGGATGAGCAAGAGATGCATGGATAATGGTTTTCCACACAGAAGTCAGAGAGTACTTGCATTGTTTTGTACATTTCTAATTCCTTTCATTAATTTGTCTATAATTATGGATGTCCTGAAAATTTGAACTAGTCTTTTTTTGACAATAGCGTTCCATACACTTCTTGTGTTCGACAGTTCTGTTTGCATCCTATTTTACTCGGCGCAGCCACCTTAGTCAACTTTTTTCTCTCTCTCGCCCCTTGACATTTCAAAGACTGCTTTTTATTATTATTGTGCCTGTGCAACTTTATTCAGAAGCACGCTAAGGCTAAGCATTTTGGACAGGAGCCTCTTCCCTCCCATGTAAATCCTCAAAATTCATGGAGGGCTGACCTGTGCTTCCCGCTTAGTATTTACTGCAGTGACATTTGTTCTTAGCAGTAATCAAATGCCTGCCAGAGTCTTTTATAATGAAATCTGCAATGTTCACAGAGCCCTCGTGGCTGTGTAGGAGATTATAGAACACAATGCCTTACGGTGTAAGACT